ACGCTCTTCCTCGACTTCTTTCAGCAGTTGATCAACTTCATCAACATTCAACACTCGTTGAGTTACATCTCCATTCTTAATTGAACGAACGATCAATAGATGAACCTCAAAATACCATTTGTAGTACTAATTTCGTGTTAGCCAATCAGTTCATAACAATAACTGTGTAAAAATAAGCTCGATATATGTACATACAAGTTTATATATATAAATATGAAATTATCACTCTGCCTCGATTTGGTAACTGTATTTCTCTAAAAAAAACAGTGCTCAAAGAAAAACATTCTGAGCATTTTAGAAATAGTGAGCTACCTAATCACTTTCTATTGAAGCATGAATTGAGCATTACATCCTATTATTTTCAAAAATACCTGAACAGAAACAACTAAGTGAACTTAACCCTTGTTGGTAAGATCCAATTGAGATATTAAGCATTCATTCATGACAAAAAAATAAATATACTGTTCAATGAAAACATGAGATCAACTTATAACCCCCTAGATTATTGCCCGATGGCCAGTCCATGATTTTGTAATTCTCGGCTAAGTTGTTCTTGAAGTTCCTGAGTATCTTATTATGACTGTATCGTGATCACTTGCATACCTGTAATTTCTTTTTCAAAATGGCTACTCCTGAGAGTACCACCCTCTCTGCTTTTAAAGCTCCAGTTGATTCAACTAAAAAGAAAATTTAAGGAAAGAAAGAAAAAAACAACACATACTTGTATACCAAAACTTGGACGGTTTACCATGAGGGTCATAAGGAGCTTCGCTCTCTCCTTCTTCTAAATCGCTAAACTCGCTTCTTGGCCACTCTTTTGGGTTGGGGTATACAGTGTGCCTAAGAGCATTATCAGGATCATACTCAAATCCAACTCCGCATGTAGGGTTCCATTTGGCATGCTCTTTTCCAAAACCCTACAGAACAATAGAAAAGTTTTTTTTTCATAAGATTATAATTCTACCTTTTTTGCGAAACATCGTAAGTTTATTTCCTGTCCTTTTCGCAACTTTACTATTAAAATATCGTCTTGTCTGGAATAATCGTCAGCACCATGTCCTGATCGATTACGAACATGAACTCCACAAGCTGGGAATACTTGCATTTGCTGGAAACAAATGAAGCTTAAAAATAATGCTAATAATTCAGAGTTACTTCTCCATTTATATCAGTTCCCTTGCATTCTAAATCTGCCGTTGTCACTGATCTTGTGGCTTCATCCCTACATTTCACATTAAGCTCGAATGAAACGGAACACTGATTGCAAAACTCGGTACATTGACATTCCTTAAAAAAATC